CACAATCACCAAGAAATGCTAGGGATGAATGGCTCGTACTCATAGATAGTAATCGTATATCATAGAGTTAGAAGGCTCCATTTTTGTTTGCCAGCCACAGTTGCCTGTAAGGGGGATTATGATGTCCTTTTGGTGATTTTTTTGAAACCAAGCTTCTTTGGTGCACCATTTGCTAGCCGGCATCTACCTATGATCCATTCAACAATGGGACCTCTTCGTACAATGAATATCTATATCTATATCTATATAAATATATATATATATATCTATATATATATAAATATATATATATCTATAGATATATATATATATAAATATATATCTAAATATATATATATAAATATATATCTATCTAAATATATATATATATAGATATATCTAAATATATATAAATATATATATATATTTATATATATAAATATATTTTTATATAAATATCTATATCTATATCTATATCTATATCTCTATCTATCTATCTATCTATCTATCTGTATGGTCCCGGCCGGCGACCGGCCACCCCCCATGCTACCCCCCAATGCTATCACCCGCAACCACCCCCATGAGTGAGAATTGGATAGAGAGGAAAGGAGCGGGCATACTTGGCCCAACCAAAGCCGACTGGGGCCGTCCTTGGCCTTAAGTTGGGCCGTACTTGAGCCCAACTGGGGTCCAACATGGCGCAAGGTGGGCATGTTTGGACGCAAGTTGGGCTTAACGTGCGCAACTTCAACGAGCCCAACTTGGTCTTGTGTGGGGGCAACTTTAACGTGCGCAACTTGGTCTTGTGTGGAGCATCTGCTGCGTGAACATCAACATCAACATCATCATCACCACCACCATCATCATCATCAGTATCATCATCATCACCATCACCATCACCATCATCATCATCATCATCAGTATCATCATCATCACCACATGATTGCATCATCACACATGAAACATCATTGTGGGCCAGGAACCTGGCCGTGGCGATCCACAATGAGGGCCAGTGAGGTTTGGAACTCTCGCTTTGTTTTGATCCTGCTGCGTCAGATTGATGGCCTGTTTCAGCGCAGTTTGGCTTCAAATCAAAATATTTAAATCAACCAAGGTGTTTGCATCCCTTCCAAGGTTGACAAAATCCAGAGATTGAAAACCAATAAACATGTCGTGGATGCAGCTGTTGAAACGATTTAGAGTTAACCAAGCCCAAGCTTTTTCTAATTCAAGCATATTTAATTTCCAAAGGAAGGTGGTGAAGGAGAAATGTGTTTTTGAATGCCATTTTAACCACCTTCTTTCGAATAAACATCTGCCTCAAACATACCCATAACCAATGACTACTAGCAAACTTGAACCCAGACAACCTTCGTGACTTCATCCTGAGACTGACCCTTATATCTACTATCGGGCAGAGCAGATGTGTGATATACTTTGCACTGATCTAAAGATGATGAAGATATAGAGAAAGAAAGAGAGAGAGAGAGAGAGAGAGAGAAAAAGAGGAGACCTCAAGCACCTTTCAGTCCATCAGTGGCTTCGCTCTGCCATGCGTGATTCAATATAACGATCGGCCATTCAAGATTGAGAAATTTCTTAGTGCAGAAAGATCAATAGATGCAATAAAAAGGAAAAATTCGAAAAAAAAGGTCCTACAGTAGATATACTGTTTATGTAAATATCAACATATACACACATATATATATATATATATATTTATATGTGTGTGTGTGTATGCCTCTACGATCTAGCTATGCCTATCTGTATAATTCTAGACCCCTTGAACCCCCTGATTCACATCGAAGGAGGAGGTGGACGGGACCGTCTTCGAGCTCCTCAGGGTGCGCCGGCTCAAGAGGGCGCTTCGGAAAGCGGCCCGGCGCTGCCTAAAGGCAGTGCGCCGCCACCACGCGCAGCGTGCCTGGCCGGCGAGGGTCGCCCGCCACGTGCGGGCGTTGCTCGCACAGTTGCAACAGTAGGCCGGGGAGTGCAGCTGGGGCCCGGGATGACCACGAGCCACATCAGTTAATTATTCGCTAAAGGCAATTTGCATCTTCCATCTAACGACGTTTCAAACCATTATAATTATAAGCATTGGTGTGCAACTTCAAGATTGCGCATTCGAAATTCTATTTGGCAAGACTAGTTCATATAAAATGCACGGATCTAAAGATAATGAAGATATAGAGAGAGAGGGAGACCGGAGAGAGAATGAGAATGTGTCTTTACATGAATGCACGCATATACATCTTGTAATGGTACCGGATGATGGAAATTTTGCACAAAACTTTGAATGACCATATCGCCCTGCCAAAACGCCCCGCCGCAGGAAGGAAGAGAAGAGCACAGAAGTCGCCGCGCAGGGCACCCTCCCACCGAACGAGCACAAAGCCGTCCGGTGGGAGTTGGGCGACAGGCGCAAAACCAGCAGCAAGGAGAGCGAGAAAAGGGAGACCAGGGAGACGATGAGCACGGCGAAGTCGCCGAGATGCCTTGCGGGGGTCAAGGATGACAACGGGAAAAGTTCCACCTTCTTTTAAAGCCACGCATGGTAAGGAGACTAGTACTTACCTAACAATGTACCAGTCGGACAGATCTGTCCGGTCGCGCCTGCTTCTAAACTACCACGCCTCGGCACCTTCGGTGCGGGTGGATTTACAACGTATTAGCTACTATCAAGCTTTCACGTGCTATACATACGTGCTAGCCACGTACTACCGATACACTATCTACATGATACCTCTATAACACCCCGCCCATCCCAGGGGGGCGTGAGGGTAAGCTATCCCTGCGTCACGCTATTTACAGCGTATTACTGCCAATAAAGTACATGTATAGTAGCAAGATAGTAGCTGTACATGCGTGCAAACCATGTGCTACCTTTGTACTACTTTTTGCCTCAGATGCTAGTGACACACTACCTTGCCCCCACCCATCCCACAGGGGAGGTGGGGTGTGTAAACTATATCTTACATAGAGCTTCCTACAGACAACGTACGTACAGCGGACATACACGTGGGGGAGTGGGGGGTTTGTTGGCCTGGGCCATATATATGATATCCAAAAGGATCCACATCTTTATACACGATTTTACCGTCATAAATCGCATCATGCATATGTGACGTCCCAGCTGTGAGGCAAAGCAACGAACGGCCTTCACCGGAGGATTTGCCCAGCGTGTTTGAGGCTCACAAGGTGCAGAAAATGGGTGCGTGACAATGTTGAAAAATGGTAGCGTTAGGGGATTTGCCAGCAAACATGATGCCAGCACAAATTGGGGTTTCATAGCTTTGACCAAGCAAGCTTGGGGTTTGACCATCAAGATGTTGGTAATCTGATTGGTGAAGGGTAGTGAAAGGTTTTCTTGTTTGCCGAAACAGAACATATTTTTCCCAGGGCCTCTAAGACTGGCCATGGATCTGAGAAATTGTTTAACCAAGCAAGTGTGGTACCCAAGTTTGGCTGAGATAAATATTTGAAGCAGGGTACTGCAATCAAGAACAAGTGTTCTATACCACTCATATACATACATGGGATTTCACCAAAAAAATGCAATAATAGGAATGGCTCGACAGACCCGTACACCTAAGGACCCAAGTGGTTCAACATTGCATGGACTCACAAATGTGGGGTATCACCCACCGGAGATTCCCCCCTCCAGTCTGCAGCCAATGCGGTTTGGAATGCCACGTATACGTCTGCTACAAGAATCTTGTGTAGGGATCCAGAAGTCGGAACAGGGCCTCAAATAACTTGAGTTTTGGTTTCGACACGTTTCAACTATTTTTCCAATGTTTTTTGGGACCTGTGGTGGGGACTATGAGATGTTTTACATCATCTTAAATCCATCCAATTTCTTCCCTTCATCATTCTTTGGGGCGAGAACATCACCCCAGTGACGAGAATCCACTAGGCGCAGGCGCAGGCGGGCGGCTACACAGGTCCTATGAAGGCAGGGCATTGATGGGACCAGTGACCCATACCACTGGTCACTGGGAATCAAAGGCTGTCTAGGAGATGACTGTAGTTGATTGACGTTTCTACAACTCGAGTTTTTGCAACTTCTAGGGGTCCAGTGCTCAACAACTGCTCAAGAACTATCTTCTAACCCAAACAAAAACATCTGTGACTTCTCTGAGTTCTCTATTAGTTTGGTGGAAGTATAGTAGGCATGTGTACATGGGAATTCACAAGTATAGCTGCTATAGCTTATCAAAAAGCACTGTAAAATTCAAACCCTTCCTACCTCCTAGATTAGAACACGCAGCAACAAACTTGTAGCTCACTGTCTACCCAGCATCATCATGAACATGATCATGATGATCATGATGGTTATGATGGTCATGATGGTCATGATGGTGATGATGATGAGGATGATGAGGATGATGATGACGATGATGATGACGATCATTATTATTACTACTAAAAGATGATCAATGTTATAATGACTTTTGGTGATGATGATTCTGATCATTTCCACAGAAGCATAATCCTCACCAGGTTTGTAGTTATGTTGATCAACATCATCCACCCTTCGTCAGTAAGCCTCTCCTATGACTGTGGCCGTTTGTGCTTGGCTTATCCTGCAAAGGCATTTTGGGCAGGAGATGGCAAACATCGAATTTGAACCAATTACACTTGAAATCACTTGAAATGCTGGTGGGTCCTGATTTTGATCGCACACAAAGCAAGGAAATTACTTGTGACATTTGGGTTTAACCCTATTCCAGATCATTCTACCTTCTCCAGATCCTGCGGGAAGCTCGGAAATCTATGGACACAATCCTGCCTTAAAACCCCAGGATTGAAACTCAGGATTGAAATCCCCAGTTTCAGGTGAAACTTCAGATTTTGTGCATATGTAAATATTTACACATAATGATTTGCCAATAATTGTACTAATAGTCATAGAACTGAGGTAATACAAATGGACAATCATACTAACACACTTTCACTTTCACTGGCGGCACTCTGAAGTGAAACCTTCATGGCCGAGATACAAAGACACAGGTATATATATATATATGGAGGTTTCCTAAAATAGGGCTACCCCTAAATCATCCAATTTAATAGGATGTTCCATCAAAAAACCATCCAGCTATTGGGGCATCCTTATTTATGGAACCCCTTATATTTATATATACGCATATACATATTATATATACATATTATATATACATATTATATATACATATTATATATACATATATATATACATACATACATAAACAGAAACATGTATATATATATACATATATGCATATATATATATAAATACATTTTCATATGTTTACATATATATATATATACTTATATATATACATACACATAAATTTATTTATACATATATATATATATAGATATACATACATACATATAAATTTATTTATACATCTACATATAATATATACATATACATATATACGTATATTTACATATACATATATACGCATTCATATATACATATATATATATATATACATGTTACATATGTATATATATATATTTTAAATCAATATATATATATATTCACATTTTTGGTTACATACATATATATACACATATAAATAAATATACATATATATTTACATATATATATATATTTACATATATATATATATTTACATATATATATATTTACATATATATATATTTACATATATATATTTACATATATATATATATATTTACATATATATATATTTTTACATGCATATATATATATATACATATACACATATATATATAAATATATTCTTGCATTTATATATACACTTATTTGTACACATATATTGATATATATATATATATTTACATATATATATATATATTTAAAATACACATATACATATACATATGCATACTGATTCATATATATATATATACATATATATATATACATACATGCATCTGGGTAAATTATAACAACCTCACTGCGACCTCACTAAAATCATGGTGAGTAAGGGGAATCATTACCAAGATAGCCTTATGTCAGGTTAGTGAAATATTAAAATTACACACATCTATATTTACAGCACATATATATATATTTACAGCACAAATGTATATACAGCACATATATATATATAGATAGATAGCACACATATGTATATATATATACAGCACATATATATATATACAGCACATATGTATATACAGCATATATATTTATACAGCACACACACATATATATATAGAGATATATGTATATATATATATACAGCACATATACATTTACAGCACATTATGTATTTTTATTTACAGCACATTATATATTTACAGCACATTACATATATACAGCACATTATATATATACACATCACATATACAGAACATTATATATATATATTTACAGTAGATATATATATATACAGCACATATGTATATATATATTAATACAGCACATATTTTTATATACAGCACATAGCATATATATATAAATACAGCACGCATATATATGTATATACAGCACACATATATATTTATATATATATACAGCAAATTATATATAGATATATGCAGCACATTATATATATATATACACAGCACATAAATATATATGTATATACCGCACATATATATATATATATACAGCACATTTTTTTTACACACATATATATGCAGCACATTATATATATATATACAGCACATATATATATACCGCACACACATATATATATATATATTTATTTACATTTAGACATATGATATGATCTCCGCATCCATATAAATCCTTCAGGTGTCCGAGCCATTGAAGGCAGCTCCAGTGACCTGGAACTGAGCGGGACAGGCTGTAGCTTCCACCTTTGAAAAGCCACAAGTGTTTAAAAAGGAGGGGATGAATAGAACTTAGAATACTTAGATTTGCTGATGATTTGCTGAATTGCTGAATTTTATGGGAGATGCAGTACTTGGGGAATGTATGGGGAATCCGTTTTACTTTTTGCTGGTCCTTTAATAGCAAACCCAAGGTTATGTAATATATAGCAATCCCCAAAGAGATAGAAAAGTAAATCATCATTGAAACTGGTAGACATTTACTTGTCTTTTTTTTGGGAAAACTATATTATATTACTTTATCATCCTGAAGTTGATAGAAGAAGGGAATTTCACCGATACCACAACAATTGACTGCAGGGTAAGGGGAATTTTACCATTCCCACCAGAAAAGTGGGAAATTGAAGTTATTTTTTTTGAAAGTATGACATTTATTTTTGCCATCAAACAAGTGGGAGTGGTCCATTTGATCGTCAGACTCACAAGACATGGCAGAACATGGAGGTCTCGCAAAACAAATCTGAGTAAGGCCCAAGGGGACCAAAAATGGACGGTTCATTTTCTGTAGGAAACCAATCCAAACCCGACCTCTTCGGGTGTTGAAGCGTGTAGAGGTCCAGCTTCTTGCAAGTTTGTCACAAAAGGGGTCTACCCTAGTAATTGGTGTCCACATGTTTCCGGCCAAATAGATCACAATAGACCATCAAGGCAAAACTGTGGGTAAAACATTGGACATACCCCGTTTATATATGAGATGCGGTCAAAATAAGCATAGACGACTTTAGTAAGGGAGGGTCCAGTTGTGATGAGAAAGTGCACCAAACCATGTAAAGCGATAGGGCCCCCTCCAAGAAAAACGATAACTTGTAACCATATGAGAGTGCATTAAACTTGGTGTAAACCAAGCAAATATTGTTGTGTGCCTTCACGCGATGGGCAAAATTGATGAAAAACATCAACCTGCAGTGCCCACGTTTCTTGCAGTTGCCATACCATTTGTTGTCCAAGACGATTGAACCGTTGCTTTCTGCAGGCAAATGTTTTTTCTACCAGGTCCCAAAACAGTAGAACTAAACTCAACTAAATGCAACCGAACTCTGAATTAAATTAAAACATATTTTTAAATATTTTAAAATCTAATTCTGAATTCCGTTTACGTGCTTTACTTTAATTTGAATTTCGTATTCCTGTGTTTCCTTTTCTTTGTCTTTCCTTCCTTTTTCCTTCTATTTGTTTAATTGTCTTTTTTGTTCCACGTTCCTTTTTCTTTTCTTTTCTTGATCATCAAGGTGTTCTAATTTAGCGATAACCTTAGCGATAATCTAGCGATAGCCTTTTGTTGAAAAAAGAACCCCGGACGAGGGACAGACTCATGTGATCCCAACAAGAAGAACTCAACAAAAAGCGAACAGGTTCTCAACCCTAGGCCATCAGGTTGTTTTGAGACTGGGGAGCCTTAAGCACTTCTTCATAGCTACGAACGCCCCTTCATCCATTCCCAGCAGTTTAGAGATCTCAATCCGTGAAGCCAATTCCGCTGCATTTTTGCATTATTTAGTGTTGATTTGAACAAAACACTGTAAAGCGATAGGCCCCCCCCAAAAAGCGATGACCTATATTTTCGTACCAAGCATCAACAATTGATTTTGACGGAGGCTCATATCATTTCTTTGAGATCACCAGTGAAAGTTTTGAATGGTTTCAAGGGACACAAATTGAGGGTGAATGAATGGCGAGCCAGAAGACCTGGCATTTTCTGAATTGTTGAAATAGCGAAACCTTCGCACCCCTGCCAGAGAATTCAACGGCTTGAACCCCCGAAATTGTGTCGCGGGAGGAATTAATTATCTTTCAAAGCCTTTTTCGGCGTTTCCATGTGAGTAATGCTTTTTGTTGGTCTGGATCCAGAAATTGATATGATGAGGGAACCCCACGAAGATACATAAAGATATACCGGGTATATATAGTGATGCTCACAAGCATCTTTCGGGGATAAAGCATGATAACAAAATCATTCTCATGGATTTAGAATATGACTGCCAAAAATACAAAATGATATAAAATGATATAAATCCATATTTCATATCAAATTCATACAAAATCCACGTAAAATCCATACATAGATATAAATCCATATAAATCCGTATAAATCCATATAAATCCATATTAAATCCATATCAAATCATATACAAATCCGTATAATTCCATATGAATCCGTATAAACCCATATTAAATCCAAATAAAATCCATACATATATGTATATGTTTATAAATCCATATAAATCCATATAAATCCATATAAATCCATGTTAAATCCATTTCAAATCCGTACATATTATGTATATAATTGTATATATATATATATATTTTTATTTATTTATAAATCCATACAAATCCGTATAAATCCATTTAAATCCATATCAAATCCATATATATATATATATCCATATAAATCAGTATAAATCCATATATATATATATATACATATTAAATCCGTATAAAAGCCATATTAAATCCATATATATATATATGTGTATATATCTATTTAAATCCGTATAAATCCGGATAAATCCATATTGAATCCATAATAAATCCATATCAAATCCATATATATATATATATCTATTTAAATCCATATATATCCGTATATATCCATATTGAATCCATATTAAATCCATATCACATCCATGTCCATACATATGAATCCATATAAATCCGTATAAATCCATATTAAATGTATATTAAATCCATATCAAATCCATATCCATACATATAAATCCATATAAATTCGTATAAATCCGCAGTGCCCAAGGCCATGGCACGGGAGTCTGGGCCACGCTCGAATCTGGCAGCTTGGCTCAACTGGGGTCTGATTTAGGGGAGAAACATCCATTTTTAATGGGTAAATCGGTAAATCCACTATAAATGGCCATTTTCAATAGTTATGTTTGTTTACCAGAGGGTATAGAAAAATCATGAAACATCCAATTCCCGTGTTTGTTTTAAAACCTCGTTTTCCCATGGTTCTCCCTAGTAAATGCTAGTAAATGCTAGTTGGTCGGGGTTTTCACACACACCCATAAAGCACTCTATGAATTGGTAGAGATTCTCTTTTTAGGTCAAAATCATGTTCTCAAGTCATATCATATCATCATATCCTGAATTTGATTGGTAGAATAGCAGACTTTTGGAACTGTAGTGACTGAGACTGATTACAGTTTGCTTGGAGATTTATTGTGACTTCACTATGACTCCACAATAGATGATGCTAAGGGAAATCCTCCCAACAAGCCATCGAACCCATCACCATCACCACCGCCAACTGTGGGGTGACTTTCTACTTAGCAACGAAACCAACCGTGGTTTGTAGCCAGTTGCCAGGCGGGAAATTGATGCAGCGTTAGGCCATGAGGATGAGGTTGATAAAAATTGAGGTACTTAACTCCGTTTTTGTATTGTTTTATGGCACATTATAGTGACTATTAAGGTTTTGGGGTAATAATCCCAATGTTATTCATCACTTTAACATGTTCTGGGCGAATTCGGGGTAGAATCAACACGCTATAACTGCCACAAAGTGGGAGCCCCTGTAACAAGTTGGCAAGGGTGCAACCCCCAGATAGACAAGTAACATCCTACCAAAAGAGTGGAAGGTCACTGTTCGTTTTTTTTTGGATAGCTGTACGCACATATATATATATATATATCTACCTATTTCTATCTATTTCTATCTATTTCTATCTATTCCTATCTATATCTATCTATATCTATTCATATCTATCTATATCTATTCATATCTATCTATATCTATCTATATCTATCTATATCTATCTATATATATCTATATCTATCTATATCTATCTATCTATATATCTATCTTTATCTATCTTTATCTATCTATATCTATCTATATTATATCTATCTAAATCTAATCTAATCTAATCTAATCTAATCTAAATCTAATCTAATCTCAACTGCGAACGAAGCAGCTGCTGCTCGAAGATGTAAAAAACAATAACAACAAAAAGTCTATTCTAATCTATTCTCATCTCATCTGATCTGATCTGATCTGATCGAATCGAATCGAATCTGATCTAATCTAAACTAATCTAATCTAGTCTATCTGTCTGTCTGCAAGTTGGAGCCCGGCCGATTGAACCCACAGGCGCCTCCTCCCGGGCTCACAGCCCAATGGGAGACGATTGCCCCTCCCTTGGCATCGCTGGGTGCTGGTGGCCACAGGCGTGAGACACTGCGCTTTCGAACCGTGATTTGGGTATGGGTCAAGTCATTGGGTACCCCAATAATTCGACGATATTAGATGGCCAATCCGAAAAATCGACTTGAATCTGTGGTTTCCAAATCTTTAAGTTCTTTACACTTTACATGAGATCTTTGAAACAAAATAATCGCTCATTTTATGGATGTTTGTTGCGATATGATAGAGATATAATGGGACATATGACCAACAAAATTGACACGGAAACATGGTTGCTTTGATGGAAGTCTTGTGATTTTGAACCATGATACAGTTTTGGATTTGGGTGGTACACAACCCAATAGTTATATACGGACCTTGTGGAGATGATTTCAGTAGGGCCAGAAGGGCGTTCATGGTTAAAAAAGTCATGCGGTATGCATAATTTCCAAATAATGCCCAACTATCAAATGATCTTAAGGAGGGGTGTATCCACGAATTTCACCACTACAATCAGGATGGCTTATGTCATTTTTGTTGAGTCGCCATGTCACTTTTTGGGCGATTCTCGCCCCTGCTGGGCTTGGATTACATTCTGATCCAAGCATGAGCCAATTAGCCAATCGCTGATGGTTCTTTTGCGGTAGAGCACATTCCGAGATATCCCAGATCATGGGTAAATGTTCAACGCCAATGCCCTATTTCTTGGATTTTGAACATGCTAAAGTGGTTCTCCGTAGGAATTCTGCTAGTTGGGTGGCGGTGTTCCAATGCGACCTTTCACCTCGCTGGTCTTCGATAGTGGGCCTCGCGACACGAATGTTGCCCCTGATGGATAAACACTTGCCCCCCAAACATAGTTTACCCTCTGGTAATCAAACATGGCTTGCTGGAAAATCCCCTAAAAAGGGAGGTTTTTAGTGCTGGGAACATCATCTATACATGGTGGATTCCAATTAAAAATACCATTGTTCATGGGTCATTATACGTAGTTAAATAGGATTAACAACTATACCAGGGTCCACTTTATCGAATTTCCTATGTTCCGTTGTTTCGAATTATAATACTTGGGTTAAAACATTTCGTTCAATGATTATACATCCCAATGGACCCCTTGGCGTTGCTGCCAGGAGTATGATGACAAGGATCAAGGTGCTCCAGTGGGAATTGCAGGACCCAAGATATGGAGGTACCATAGGTACTGTAACATATTGCAGGCATATTTTCTGGGCATAGTCCCTGAAATTTAGCTCTTACATAGGCTTTATATACCGTATATATATATATATATGTATGTGTGTGTATATATATATATATGTATGTATGTGTGTGTGCACATACATACATACATGGTAGGCACCTCCAATTTGGGTTCCTGAAACGGCCCATTGATCTATAAACTGGATTGAATTGGGAGAGTGTCCTTTGCCATGTTAGATGAGTGTAGGAAACTATTCTGGATGAGAAGGCAAGAACGGCCTTTTCAAGGACTGTACTGTATCTTTCAAACAAGGTACCAAGTACTACGTACCAATGACAATAGTACAGGGTCAATATTTTCAGCATGGTTTGCCTTTACACAAAGTCATGAGATTTGTGAATGGGTCAACACCTATCATGCTATATCTGGACGTGATGAACACGAGTTGTGCATGGTACATGTCCCCTACATTGTACTTAGTGGATGCTTGATAAATGGCTGCACGGCTCTTGTCCTGATGGAGAAAGGTACCAGGGTTTTGACCCATCCCCATTTCTTTCCTGACCCAACTTTGCCGAAAAGAAAGCGCTTCACTTCGGCAGGTGACGAACTTGGTAAGGCGTTTGAAGTCTCAGGACGGCCGCAGAGGAATGCATTATATATCTGCTTAGGATCACTATACCCTCCGGTAGTCAAACGTGGCCGGGAATTCCCCGAAATGAAATGGAGGCCAGGCTTGCAACATCTTGGAACCAGCCTATTATTTTTCAGGACACCCAATATATTCCAACAAGGATATGGTTGGGTCAGTTTTGACCATTTTTGACAGCTGTAAAAACTTGTGATAGAATCGGTAGATGCTTGGCTTGGTTAGAATTCCGGAGAGAATGTCATTTTTCAAAAGATAAATCATCAACTCCCGAAGAGTTAGTCCGTAGCCTTGAACCAAAAACGTTTTGGCACTTCTTTTGCAAGTGCCATCTCAAATCACACCCTTGAAGCCTCAAAGCAGATGCACAGGAACATGGCAGAATTGGTGAATGGAACTTTTTACAGGATTTACCATGGATTTACAGTACCTCATATTTACTTAAATATTTCAACCTTTCATGCTCCGAAGGAGGTCCAGACAGTCTTTGAACGCTATGTGGGGCCAATCACCCACTGCAACCTGGTGGAAGATGCCGCATCCATCACTTTTTTGAGTCCTGACCACGCGCAGGAACGGGGGTCCACGGGGGCTCTTGGGGCCGGGCCGTGGGGCGAAGCCGGGGCGAAGCCGACCATTGGTTGACTATCTTCAGTGGATGACTTGAGTCGACTCGAATCTCTTTTTCTCACAGGTGCAAATATATTCCAGCCAGAAACCATGGAGGTAGTTGGGAGGTAGAGTGGGGATGGGGCAGATGGACTGCTCATATACCAGTAGTGCCCGGCACGCGCCGGGGCGGAAGTTTCGAAAAAAGGAAATGACTATAGGAAAAGTTTTGCTTATACTGTTGGAATTGTTTTTGAGCTGGAAAGCGATGAGATGAAGCCTGCAACGAAAGAAAGACGTGATGAAATGTTATGAACTGGAAATGACTGAATGACTGAATGAACGAATCAAGGAAGGAAGGAATGAAGGAATGAAGGAAGGAAGGAATGAAGGAAGGAATGACTGAATGAATGATTGCTTGAATGAAGAACTCAATGAAGGGAATGAATTCATGAATGAATAAATGAATGAATGAATGAATGAATGAAGGAATGAAGGAAGGAAGGAACGAACGAACGAACAAAGGAACGAATCGAACGAACGCACTTGGCCGACCTCATCTTCCAAAAGTGCTCCGGCGCCATTGTTTCTTTATAACATTTTGAAATGGAAATCGAGCTCTCGCAGTGCTCTCGCTACAGTCTCTCGTGCACATTTGGCTGACCTGATCTTCCAAAAATGCTCCGATCCCCTTATTTTTTTGCGATTTTGGAGTGCAAAGCAATTTCATTGAAATGCAAATCGAGCTCTCGCTGCAGTCTCGTGCGCATTTTGCCAACTTCATCTTCCCAAAATGCTCCGATCCCCTCAGTTGTCTTACTGTACGATTTTGAAATGCAAATCGAGCTCCTGCTACAGTCTGGTGCACATTTTGCCGATCTCATCTTCCAAAAGTGCTCCAGCGTCGTCAGTTTTTTAACATTTTGAAGTGCAAATCGAGCTCTCGCTACAATCCTGTGCACTTTTTGCCTACAACTTTCCCAGATCGAGCCATGTTACCCGAAAGGGCACAGGGTTTCAGGCACGATAGTGTTTTCACCCGTGAATTCACACGTTCCCGAGCTGTTACACTTCCCAACTACTTAATGATGGTTGGTTGACACGATGATGTGGTTGACATGATGTTGGGTATGCTAACCATGACAATCGTCCGCAATTCGGAAGTTTCTAACTAAACTTCCTTTGATATCCTTTGATTATGTAAGCAGTAAGCCATCCCATTTTTTGGGATTGATCTGATCGATCTCCACGTTGCCGGTCAAATCGGATCTGCAAAGACTTGACAAAATACCCGCTGCAGATCCCCAGGTTATACAACCCTGTCAGTTTGCCAAGCTATCCATGTTTTTCTAAAGACAGTTTTCCACAGAAAAGAACGTGTCCAGAGTATCCTGCCGGGAGTTCTCTCAGTTTTCCCGGGGCCCTGCCGGGCCAGGCCGCCATCGACCGCTACGATGGCGGCGTCATGGAGGTCCGCACTGAAGCTCGAGCCGTTGGAGCCGTTGGAGTCGTTGGACCGGGCCTGGACAACCTGAAAATCCCAGGAAACCATGGGGTATTGGTATACCAATGGTGGTGAATGGC